CAATCCTCCTCCTTTTCTTCCCCAAAGCCCCAGTAGATAGTTGTATGTCATAGTTGCACATCCTTCTAGTTGCTGTATGTGGGACGCGGCCTCAGTATGGCTGGAGAAGCGGCGCATCAGTGCGCGCCCGGGATCAGAACCCAGGCCGCCAGTAGTGGAGCGCACGCATTTAACTGCTAAGCCACAGGGCCGGCCCAAGACTTATTTTTAAGAGCTAAGAACTCCCAGATAACTTTATCCGAAAGTCACTAAACATTACTTCACTTTTTAATTCTATTTTATAGTCTTTAGTAAACTCTATCTTTCCTAATCTTAGCAAAATTCATTTTCCCTAATCTCTATTACTTCACCAAAGTGAATTTCATTATAATCATGACAGATTTGAAAACTTTCAAGATAAATTAAGCTGGCATTGACCTGAATGGTACATACTTCCCTAAGGTATCCCCTAAAATTAAAGCTGCAAAGGTCTGTGACCGGTACTGTTATTCTAGCAAGATTTCCTTGCTTAAAAAAAACTAAAGAATCTCCCACACAAATATCATATTGTATTGATTCTAGAAGCACGTTTTGTTTATATTTTAACATCTCTGAAATCACAATATATCTTACAAGTGATAGCATATCATAATCTAATGAGTAGTGTTATTTTTTCTTTTCTACTAATGCATATAAGATAGGATGAAACCCAACAGGGTCAAGGATTAAGTGAACTAAAGAAAACAACCACAACTAAAGGAAAAAAGAAAAGAAGTTAACGTTTATCCTTCCTAAAAGATTAATATGTTGAAAATAAAAGATTTGGTCAACTACAGTTAGAAAAACATGCAAAGATTTAAACAGCAGTCCCTCCTTCTCTGCGAGGGACACGTTCTAAGATCCCCAGTGGATGCCTGAAACGGAATAGTACCGAATCCTGTATACACTACGTTTTTTCCTACAGAACATACATATTTGAGGTGTGACGGCAAAACTAGCACAAATTTCTTTTTCCTTTTTCACAATTTCACAGATAGAAGATTCGTTCTTACTATAGATCTTAGCAACCTCAGCATACGATTTTTTTCCTTTCCATATTAAGTTGAGAACTTTCACTTTTTCACTTAAAGGAAGCAGTCTATGGCTTCTCTTTGGCATATTCAAATTGCCAGCATCACTACTCTTGCGCTTTGGGGCCATTATTAAGTAAAATAAGGGTTCCTTGAACACAAGCACTGTGATACCGTGACCGTTGATCTGACAACCGAGATGGCTACCAAGCGACTAACGGGCAGGGAGCGTGTACAGCTTGATCCGCTGGACAAAGGGATGATTCACATCCTGGGCAGGATGGAGCAGGACGGCTCAAGATTTCATCACGCTACTCAGAACAGCACGCAATTTAAAACTTATGAATTGTTTACTTCTGGAATTTTCCATTTAATATTTTCGGACTGTGGTTGACCGCAGGTAACCAAAACCGTGGAAAGTAAAACCACAGATAAGGGGAAACCACTGTACTATGTGCTGTAACAAATACAGCATGTGATGACAAGATGCCCTATTTATGACTTTCCTCAAACTGTTCCCTCTGCCCAGACAAGTCATGCTAACAGACCCTGCTGGCCCCTGCTCATCCTTCTCCATCACCTGCAAACGTCCACCTCCTCTTGGAAATATTTCCTGACACCACTGTCTACCCATCCTGACCCAATCTGAGACAGAGCCTCTTCTGTTCTCCTGTAACAGACTGTGGCTATTTCTAGCACAACATTCTTACACTAAGTTATCAATGGTTTTCATGGTTACATCCTCTATTAGAACAGCGTTTGTGACTCACAAGAGTGAGCTGTGGCGCATTACCTGGTCTTGAAATCATCTAAGTGTGTCTCAAGCTGCAAATATTTTTATTAAAAAAAAAAAAAGTCTGAAGAACCCAGAACGACCATAAGGCCACTGAGGGCAGGACTTGTGTTCTCTCTCTAACTCAGTGTCTGAGTAAAATCTAGACACATAAGTGGTGCTGGTAAATGAAGGCTGGAGGCAGGCTAGCAGGCAGACAACTGCATAACAGTATCAAGTAACTCACGAGACCACCTTATCCTTACTTTCAAGAAGGTTTGAGCTACACAAAGAAAATCAACTGGAATCAATCACTAATTTAAGTACTCTACATAAAATCTTTAAAATGTTTACAAATGCGGTATTTAAAGGATGTTCTTGATCCAAGGAAATCAAAGCAAAGCACAAATTAGGGGTGCATAAGCCATTAACAAAGAGGAACTATCTCAATATA